AGTAACAGACACACTTATAATGTAATATTTCTAATAATAATAAAAAATATAATAAAAATCTATATTACAAGTACAAGGTATAAGACCCTAGTTGCATGAAGACATAATAAATTTTTTTAGTAGGCGTTTCCCCCAATTTGGTCAGTTTTGTCCCAGGATGGCCCCCCAAACCGTCCACACAATAGGACCCCTTTACATTGTGGTAAACAAGGCAACCGGGTAATGAAAAATGCCCCAAATTTTCTACTCGCTGGGAACGAAACCCCGACCCCCCACCTGTGAAAACGAGAGCTTCGCCCCAGGCCCCGGGGGACCACGGTCACTGGGTCAAGGGGACAGTAATATTACAATAAAGGCGGGCCCGGGCCGAGACTCGACCCTTACAAAACCCCATCGTTGAGTACAAATCCCCGAGTCCTACTTGAGAAAAAAGAAAATCGAAAAATTTGGGGAAGTGATAAAAGTTTGATTTGGAAAAAAAATTTAAAATTATAATTTATTTAATTATATTTATTTAATTTTTAAAAATAATTTTTTTAAAAATATTTATAAAATTTTTGAAATTTATTTAAATTATAATTAATTTTTAAATTATAATTTATAATTTAAATTATAAAAATTTATAATTAAATTATAATTTATTTAAATTATGAATTTAAATAAAAAAAAATTTTTTTATATTTTAATTGTATAATTTTAAATTTAATTTATAATTTTAATTAAAAAATTTTATAATTTAAATTATTAAATTATTTTAAAAAATAATTTATTTAAATTTTAAAATAATTTTATATTTTAAATTATGAATTTATAAGTTTAAATTATAATTTTTAAATTAAAAAAAATTTATAATTTTAAATTAAATTTTTAAAAATAATTTAAAATTTTAAATTTATGAAAGTTGAAATGTTGAAAGTAGTGAATTTTTAATGTTTTAAAAAATAGTGAATGTTGATTTTTTAGAATGTAGTGAATTTTATAAGTTGAATGAGTGAATTTTAAATGTTAGAAAAGTGTTTAAATTGAAATTGGTTAAATTGTAGTGAATGTTGATAATGTTAGATTTTAGTGAATGTTTAAATTTGAAGTAGTGAATGTTGAAAAGTTAGAATGTAGGAAAGTTGAATGTTAGAATGTAGTGAAGTTGATAATGTTAGAAAAAGTGAAGTTGATAATGAATGCCTAATGAAATTTTCCCTAATTAATTCTAATCATTAAAATTAAATATTTATACCTTAATTATAAACATAATATAATCCTTAAAAATAATATATATTGAATACGTAAGTATACTTTGATAATAAAAATTTAGATCTAAAAAAAATTTTAAAACTTCTAAATAATAATTAAATTTAAATATAATAATTTAAATAATTATTTTTAATTAATTAATTTATAAATATACTATATTTATAATTAAAAATATATTATAAAAAATTCTAAAATTAACTTATAATTCATAATTAATTATAATTATTTAAAAATATTATAATTAAATAATAAGTTTCATAATATAACATATATATTAATTAATTAATAATATTTATAAATATAATCTAATAATTTAATTATTTATAATTAACTAATGATGTTATCATGTATAATGTATTATAATGTTGATAATCTTAAAATGTAGTGAATGTTGATAATGTTAGAATGATAAATTTTGAAAATGTTGATTGTAGTAAATTTTGATGTTAGACTGTAGTGAATGTTGATAATGTTAGAATGTAGTGAATGTTAATGTTAGAATGTAGTGAATGTTGATAATGTTAGATTGTAGTGAATGTTGATAATGTTAGAATGTAGTGAATGTTGATGTTAGAATGTAGTGAATGTTGATAATGTTAGAATGTAGTGAATGTTGATAATGTTAGAATGTAGTGAATGTTGATAATGTTAGAATGTAGTGAATGTTGATAATGTTAGATTGTAGTGAATGTTGATAATGTTAGAATGTAGTGAATGTTGATAATGTTAGAATGTAGTGAATGTTGATAATGTTAGAATGTAGTGAATGTTGATGTTAGAATGTAGTGAATGTTGATAATGTTAGAATGTAGTGAATGTTGATAATGTTAGAATGTAGTGAATGTTGATAATGTTAGAATGTAGTGAATGTTGATAATGTTAGAATGTAGTGAATGTTGATAATGTTAGAATAGTGAATTTTGATAATTTAGAATGAAGTGAATTTTGATAATGTTAAGTACCCGAATGTTGATAATTTAGAATGTAGTGAATGTTGATAATGTTAGAATGTAGCGAATGTTGATAATGTTAGAATGTAGTGAATGTTGATAATGTTACTGTGCTGCTCTTCAAGGTGTAAGAGGCGATGCTCAAGGGCTCTTCATCCAAGTTATTAGAGCTGCGTTTCCTCCTTCCTTGGATTAAACCTGATTAGTTTAATTCCCCATACGTTGCATCTATGAACCATACATGTATAGCGCTTCCCTGTCATACCAACAGCAGCGCTGTATGGCCCTTGTGGTTTAGCGCTTCTTTTTTGATAATCGTCATAATAGTAATTAATAATAGTAATATTTAACAATAATAGTAATAATAATTAAAATAGTTGACATTGAGTTTTGATCAAAGAAGTTGAGTATTTTATCAATATTATCTATCTGATAGATTATTATCTGGAGATAAAGATATTAATGATATTGTTAATGGAGAGATTATTTGATCTTAAGATAACTGGTGACGATGAGTTGTCATGGTATACATGATATCATGGTATACATGCTGTTATCATGGTATACATGGTGCCATCATGGTATACATTATGATATACATGGTGTTATCATGGTATACATGGTGTTATCATGGTTTTTAAAATGGTGTCATCATGGTATACATTATGTTATGATATACATGGTGTTATCATGGTATACATGGTGTTATCATGGTATACATGGTGTCATCATGGTATACATTATGTTATGATATACATTGGTGTTATCATGGTATACATGGTGTCATCATGGTATACATTATGTTATGATATACATGGTGTTATCATGGTATACATTATGTTATGATATACATGGTGTTATCATGGTATACATGGTGTCATCATGGTATACATTGTTATGATATACATGGTGTTATCATGGTATACATGGTGTCATCATGGTATACATTGTTATGATATACATGGTGTTATCATGGTATAAAATGGTGTCATCATGGTATACATTATGTTATGATATACATGGTGTTATCATGGTATACATAAAGTAATGATATACATGGTGTTATCCCTGGTATACATGGTGTCATCATGGTATACATTGTTATGATATACATGGTGTTATCATGGTATACATGGTGTCATCATGGTATACATTGTTATGATATACATTTGGGGTTATCATGGTATACATGGTGGGCATCATGGTATACATTGTTATGATAAACATGGTGTTATCATGGTATACATGGTGTCATCATGGTAACATTGTTATGATATACATGGTGTTATCATGGTATACATGGTTTTCATCATGGTATACATTGTTATGATATACATGGTGTTATCATGGTATACATGGTGTCATCATGGTATACATTGTTATGATATACATGGTGTTATCATGGTATACATGGTGTCATCATGGTATACATTGTTATGATATACATGGTGTTATCATGGTATACATGGTGTTATCATGGTATACATTATGTTATGATATACATGGTGTTATCATGGTATACATTATGTTATGATATACATGGTGTTATCATGGTATACATGGTGTATCATGGTATACATTGTTAAAGATATACATGGTTTATCATGGTATACATGGTGTCATCATGGTATACATTGTTATGATATACATGGTTTTTATCATGGTATACATGGTGTTTATCATGGTAATAACATTATTTTATTGATATACATGGTTTTTATCATGGTATACATTATGTTATGATATACATGGTGTTATCATGGTATACATTATGTTATGATATACATGGTGTTATCATGGTATACATGGTGTTATCATGGTATACATGGTGTCATCATGGTATACATGGTGTCATCATGGTATACATTATGTTATGATATACATGGTGTTATCATGGTATACATGGTGTCATCAAAGGTATACATTATGTTAGATATACATGGTTTATCATGGGATACATTGTGTTATCATGGTATACATGGTGTCATCATGGTATTTCATTATGTTATGATATACATGGTGTTATCAAAGGTATACATGGTGTTATCATGGTATACATGGTGTTATCATGGTATACATGGTGTCATCATGGTATACATTATGTTATGATATACATGGTGTTATCATGGTATACATAGTGTCATCATGGTATACATTATGTTATGATATACATGGTGTTATCATGGTATACATGGTGTTATCATGGTATACATGGTGTTATCATGGTATACATGGTATACATGGTGTCATCATGGTATACATTATGTTATGATATACATGGTGTCATCATGGTATACATTATGTTATGATATACATGGTGTCATCATGGTATACATTATGTTATGATATACATGGTGTCATCATGGTATACATTATGTTATGATATACATGGTGTCATCATGGTATACATTATGATATACATGGTGTTATCATGGTATACATGGTGTTATGGTATACATGATGTTATCATGGTATACATGATGTTATCATGGTATACATGGTGTTATGGTATACATGATGTTATCATGGTATACATGATGTTATCATGAATGATTAAAAATGGCAGGTCTTGCTGTTGCTGAAGGACTCTTGATTCAAGGGACTGGAGCTACGCTCGCCTTCCTCGGATCAAACCTATAACTATTATTACTATTACTGCTACTATTACTACTGCTATTACTACTACTATTACTACTGCTATTACTATTTCTATTACTATTACTACTACTTTATCACTATTACTGCTACTACTGTTACTACTATTACTAACAGTAATAATAATAATAATAATGGTATTATCATCAACAACAGGAGTTGACTGAAGCTCTGCTGAAGTACGGAGATTATAACGTCATAGTTGTGGACTGGTCGACTGGGGCTCAGCCTCCACTCTTACAGGTAAGATTATAACGTCATAGTTGTGGATTGGTCGACTGGGGCTCAGCCTCAACTCTTACAGGTAAGATTATAACGTCATAGTTGTGGATTGGTCGACTGGGGCTCAGCCTCCACTCTTACAGGTAAGATTATAACGTCATAGTTGTGGATTGGTCGACTGGGGCTCAGCCTCCACTCTTACAGGTAAGATTATAACGTCATAGTTGTGGATTGGTCGACTGGGGCTCAGCCTCCACTCTTACAGGTAAGATTATAACGTCATAGTTGTGGACTGGTCGACTGGGGCTCAGCCTCCACTCTTACAGGTAAGATTATAACGTCATAGTTGTGGATTGGTCGACCCGGGGCTCAGCCTCCACTCTTACAGGTAAGATTATAACGTCATAGTTTTTGGACTGGCGACTGGGGCTCAGCCTCCACTCTTACAGGGAAGATTATAACGTCATAGTTGTGGATTGGTCGACTGGGGCTCAGCCTCAACTCTTACAGGTAAGTTATAAACGTCATAGTTGTGGATTGGTCGACTGGGCTCAGCTCCCCCTCTTACAGGTAAGATTTTAAAAGTCATAGTTGTGGACTGGTCGACTGGGGCTCAGCCTCCACTCTTACAGGTAAGATTATAACGTCATAGTTGTGGATTGGTCGACTGGGGCTCAGCCTCCACTCTTACAGGTAAGATTATAACGTCATAGTTGTGGACTGGTCGACTGGGGCTCAGCCTCCACTCTTACAGGTAAGACAAGATTTTGTTGGGATTTTTAACCCCGGAGGGTTAGCCACCCAGGTTAGGGAGGGTTGGCCACCCAGGGTAGTGAGGGTTAGCCACTCAGGATAACCCAGGGTAGGGAATGTTAACCACCCAGGATAACCTAGGGTAGGGAGAGTTACCTACCCAGGATAACCTAGGTTAGGGAGTGTTAGCTACCCCAGGATAACCAAGGGTAGGGAGGGTTGGCCACCCAGGGTAGGGAGTGTTAGCCACCCCAGGATAACCCAGGGTAGGGAGTGTTAGCCACCCAGGATAACCCAGGGTAGGGATTGTTAGCCACCCAGGATAACCCAGGGCAGGGAGGGTTAGCCACCCAGGATAACCCAGGGTAGGGAGGGTTAACCAGCCAGGATAACCCAGGGTAGGGAGGGTTAACCAGCCAAGATAACGCAGGGTAGGGAGTGTTAGCCACACAGAATAGCCCAGGGTAGGGAGTGTTACCTACCCAGGATAACCCAGGGTAGGGAGTGTTAACCACCCAGGATAACTCAGGGTAGGGAGGGTTAGCCAGCCAGGATAACCCAGGGTAGGGAGTGTTAGCCACCCAGGATAACCCAGGGTAGGGAGGATTATCCACCCAGGATAACCCAGGGTAGGGAGTGTTAACCATCCAGGATAACCCAGGGTAGGGAGGGTTAGCCATCCAGGATAACCTAGGGTAGGGAGGGTTAACCAGCCAAGATAACGCAGGGTAGGGAGTGTTAGCCACACAGAATAGCCCAGGGTAGGGAGTGTTAGCTACCCAGGATAACCCAGGGTAGGGAGTGGCCCGGTGGCCTGGTGGCTAAAGCTCCCGCTTCACACACGGAGGGCCCGGGTTCGATTCCCGGCGGGTGGAAACATTTCGACACGTTTCCTTACACCTGTTGTCCTGTTCACCTAGCAGCAAATAGGTACCTGGGTGTTAGTCGACTGGTGTGGGTCGCATCCTGGGGGACAAGATTAAGGACCCCAATGGAAATAAGTTAGACAGTCCTCGATGACGCACTGACTTTCTTGGGTTATCCTGGGTGGCTAACCCTCCGGGGTTAAAAATCCGAACAAAATCTTATCTTATCTTATCTAACCACCCAGGATAACTCAGGGTAGGGAGGGTTAGCCAGCCAGGATAACCCAGGGTAGGGAGTGTTAGCCACCCAGGATAACCCAGGGTAGGGAGGGTTAGCCACCCAGGATAACCCAGGGTAGGGAGTGTTAGCCACCCAGGATAGCCCAGGGTAGGGAGTGTTAACCACCCAGGATAACCCAGGGTAGGGAATGTTAGCCACCCAGGATAACCCAGGGTAGGGAGGGTTAGCCACCCAGGATAACCCAGGGTAGGGAGTGTTAGCCACCCAGGGTAGGGAATGTTAGCCACCCAGGATAACCCAGGGTAGGGAGGGTTAGCCACCCAGGATAACCCAGGCTAGGGAGTATTAGCCACCCAGGATAACCCAGGGTAGGGAGGGTTAGCCACCCAGGATAACCCAGGCTAGGGAGTATTAGCCACCCAGGATAACCCAGGGTAGGGAGTGTTAGCCACCCAGGATAACCCAGGGTAGGGAGGGTTAGCCACTCAGGATAAAACCCCGGCTAGGGGGGTATTAGCCACCCAGGATAACCCAGGGTAGGGAGTGTTAGCCACCCAGGATAACCCAGGGTAGGGAGGGTTAGCCACCCAGGATAACCCAGGCTAGGTAAGGTTTGCCAGCCAATATAAACCAAGTCAGTGCGTCATTGAGGACTGTCTGTCTTATTTCCATTGTTGTCCTTCAATCTTGTACTCCAGGATGCTACCTAAATCAGTCTAACACCCAGGTACCTACTTACTGCTAGGTGAACAGGGACAACAGGTGTAAGGTAACATGCTCAATGTTTTCACCCTTGCCAGGGATCGAACCACGGACACTCAGTGTGCCTACCAGGCCACGGTACGCCATGTTAGGCCTCCACTTTTACAGGTAGGTCTATGTTTCTTGCCTTTGAAGGATTTTTTGATTCATGGAATGAGAGCTACCCTCCTCTTCCCTGGATCGAGAGACTAACTCTTTCTGTTTCATTACCCAGGCTGTGGCTAACGCAAGATTAGTGGGGCTACAAGTAGCTTACCTGCTCCACACCCTGAGCCACACTATCAACTTACAACCACAACAAGTTCATCTTATCGGGTACTCCCTAGGTGCCCATGTGGCAGGTGAGGTCACACCTTCACAGTCTTAAAGCTGTGTATGGTATTATTTGCCGCACCGCTGTCATGGTGCCAGTGGAGAATAATATCTACTATTCACTGCTTCCACTCCCAGACTACCCTCACAGTATGTTACTACTGGTGTTAGTAACACCGTGTTACTGGTTACTGCTGCTGGTGTTAGTAACACTGTCGCAGGTTACTACTAGTGTTAATAACACTGTATGTGTTACAGGTTAAATACCAGTGTTAAGACTAGTGTTGCAAGTTGCTACTAGTGTTAATAACACTGCATGTGTTGCAGGTTAAATACCAGTGTTAAGAATACAATGTTGCAGGTTGCTACTAGTATTAACAACACTACAAGTGTTACAGGTTACAGTGGAGAGAAGGCAGCAGACACTGGTCTCGTCAAGTGTTGTAGTTTACTATCAGTGTTAACACTGCAATTGTTGTAGTTTACTATCAGTGTTAATACTGCAAGTGTTGTAGTTTATTATCAGTGTTAACACTGCAATTGTTGTAGTTTACTATCAGTTTTAACACTGCAAGTGTTGTAGTTTACTATCAGTGTTAACACTGCAAGTGTTGTAGTTTACTATCAGTATTAACAATACTACAAGTGTTGTAGTTCACTATCAGTATTAACAATACTACAAGTGTTGTAGTTCACTATCAGTATTAACAACACTACAAGTGTTGTAGTTCACTATCAGTATTAACAACACTACAAGTGTTGTAGTTCACTATCAGTATTAACAACACTACAAGTGTTGTAGTTCACTATCAGTGTTAACACTACAAGTGTTGTAGTTCACTATCAGTATTAACAACACTACAAGTGTTGTAGTTCACTATCAGTGTTAACACTACAAGTGTTGTAGTTCACTATCAGTATGAACAACACTACAAGTGTTGTAGTTCACTATCAGTGTTAACAACACTACAAGTGTTACAGGTTACACTGGAGAAAGGGTAGCAGACACTGGTCGCATCACAGGCTTGGCACCATCAGCACTCTACTTCGAGGGAATGTCACCAGTAGTGCGCCTTGACGAGTCCGATGCTGCCTTTGTTGATGTTGTTCACACTGCTACTGATGGTGAGTACTTGTACTCATGTACTCATCCTTGTCCTGACTGGTCTTAGGCTGGTCAATGTTGAATTTGTTCCGCTATAATTTTTACCACTGACCATCAAATAACAAGACTTCATCTAATTCTCTAGACTAGTTCACTGTTCAGGCAGGAGGAGGAACCTTGATGCTGGAGGAAGAGCCTTGATGCTGGAGGAGGAGCCTTGATGCTGGATGAAAAACCTTGATGCTGGTCGAAGGTTCTTAAAAATAGACAGTCAAGGATATTATGAGGATGTTTCTCTTGTATTATGGACCATTATTAGTTGTTGAAGCAGTTCTCCCAGCGCTCCAGTCTTCACTGGACAGTTGCATATGTGTCTTACCTAACAATGATAGTACTACTATTAATAATAATATTAGTTGTTATAGCCTGGTCAACACTACTGTTAATAATAATAGTAGTAGTAGTAGTAGCTGTGCTACTACTATTGTTATTAATAATAGTATTAATAAGAGTAGTAACAGTGGTTGTTATGGTTCAGGACCTGGGTTCTCCGAGCGTTGTGGTACTGTGGATTTCTATCCTAATGGAGGAGGGAAGCAGCCAGGGTGTGGAACCAAAATGGACGATAATAGTGACATAGAGAGAAGAGACACTGCTAAGTCACTGTTCCGTCAGTCTTGCAACATGATGATGTCACTGCAACTCTTTATCACCTCCCTAACATGTCCACATTGCTTCCTCGGACATGAGTGTACTGATGAATACTTGTATGCATACGTAAGTTTACAAGTTAACACACACACACACACACACAGACACAACTACCGTTTTGTTATAAGAATGTGACAGGAACATGTTAAACATTTTGCACTCTGACAGTGTTGCAGGTCATTTCATTGTCTCGTCCCCTCAAGGAAGGTTCCTTGACGTTGGTGAGGGGCTCTTGATTTAGGGAATTGGATCTGTGCTCCAGTTCCCCGAATTAAGCCTGAATGCCTTCCACATCCCCCCCCCCCCAGGCGCTGCATAATCCTCCGGGTTTAGCGCGTCCCCTTGATTATAATAATAATAATAATTCATTGTCTTGTTATTATCCAATTATCTTTGCTGGTAGGTGGTGTGAGTGTGCTGGTAGGTGGTGTGAGTGTGCTGGTAGGTGGTGTGAGTGTGCTGGTAGGTGGTGTGAGTGTGCTGGTAGGTGGTGTGAGTGCTGGTAGGTGGGGTGAGTGCTGTTGTGGTGTGAGGTGCTGGTAGGTGGTGTGAGTGTGCTGGTAGGGTGGTGTGAGTGTGCTGGTAGGTGGTGTGAGTGTGCTGGTAGGTGGTGTGAGTGTGCTGGTAGGTGGTGTGAGTGTGCTGGTAGGTGGTGTGAGTGTGCTGGTAGGTGGTGTGAGTGTTGCTGGTAGGTGGTGTGAGTGTGCTGGTAGGTGGTGTGAGGTGCTGGTAGTGGTGAGGTGCTGGTAGGTGGTGTGAGTGTGCTGGTAGGTGGTGTGAGTGTGCTGGTAGGTGGTGTGAGTGTGCTGGTAGGTGGTGTGAGTGTGCTGTAGGTGGTGTGAGTGTGGTAGGTGTGTGATGTGCGTGGTAGGTGGTTGTGAGTGTGCTGGTAGGTGGTGTGAGTGCGTGGTAGGTGGTGTGAGTGCTGGTAGGTGGTGTGAGTGCGCTGGTGGGTGGTGTGTGAGTGTGCGCTGGTAGGTGGTGTGAGTGGGCTGGTAGGTGGTGTGAGTGTGCTGGTAGGTGGTGTGAGTGCTGCTGGTAGGTGGTGTGAGTGTGCTGGTAGGTGGTGTGAGTGTGCTGGTAGGTGGTGTGAGTGTGCTGGTAGGTGGTGTGAGTGTGCTGGTAGGTGGTGGAGTGTGGGTGGTAGGTGGTGTGAGTGCGCTGGTAGGTGGTGTGAGTGCGCTGGTAGGTGGTGTGAGTGTGCTGGTAGGTGGTGTGAGTGTGCTGGTAGGTGGTGTGAGTGCGCTGGTAGGTGGTGTGAGTGCGCTGGTAGGTGGTGTGAGTGCGCTGGTAGGTGGTGTGAGTGCGCTGGTAGGTGGTGTGAGTGTGCTGGTAGGTGGTGTGAGTGGCTGGTAGGTGGTGTGAGTGCGCTGGTAGGTGGTGTGAGTGGCTGTAGGTGGTGTGAGTGTGCTGGTAGGTGGTGTGAGTGCGCTGGTAGGTGGTGTGAGTGGCTGGTAGGTGGTGTGAGTGTGCTGGTAGGTGGTGTGAGTGCGCTGGTAGTGGTTGAGTGTGTGGGAGGTGGTGTGAGTGGTGGTGGTGTGTGAGTGCGCTGGTAGGTGGTTTTGAGGCTGTGGTGGTGGTGTGAGAAGCGCTGGTAGGTGGTGTGAGGTGCTGGTAGGTGGTGTGAGAGCGCTGGTAGGTGGTGTGAGAGTGCTTGTAGGTGGTGTGAAAGCACTTGTAGGTGGTGTGAGAGCGCTGGTAGGTGGTGTGAGAGCGTTTGTAGGTGGTGTGAGAGCGCTGGTAGTGGTGGAGGTGGTGGGTAGGCGTGGTAGGTGGTGTGAGTGTGCTGGTAGGTGGTGTGAGAGCGCTGTAGGTGGTGTGAGAGCGCTTTGGGAGGTGGTGTGGAGCGCTGGTAGGTGGTGTGAGAGCGCTGGTAGGTGGTGTGAGAGCGCTGTGTAGGTGGTGTGAGAGCGCTGGTAGGTGGTGTGAGAGCGCTTGTAGGTGGTGTGAGAGCGCTGGTAGGTGGTGTGAGAGCGCTGGTAGGTGGTGTGAGAGCGCTTGTAGGTGGTGTGAGAGCGCTGGTAGGTGGTGTGAGATGCGCTGGGTAGGTGGTGTGAAGCGCTGTAGTGATGTGAGAGCGCTGGTAGGTGGTGTGAGAGCACTGGTAGTGGTGTGAGAGCGCTTGTAGGTGGTGTGAGAGCGCTGGGTAGTGGTGTGAGAGCGCTTTAGGTGTGTGAGAGCGCTGGTTAGGTGTGTGAGAGCGCTTGTAGGTGGTGTGAGAGCGCTTGTAGGTGATGTGAGAGCGCTGGTAGGTGATGTGAGAGCGCTTGTAGGTTGTGTGAGAGCGCTTGTAGGTGATGTGAGAGCGCTTGTAGGGGGTGTGGGCGCTTGTAGGTATGTGAGAGGCTGGGGGTGTGTGAGAGCGCTTGTAGGTTGTGTGAGAGCGCTTGTAGGTGATGTGAGAGCGCTTGTAAGTGGTGTGAGAGCGCTTGTAGGTGATGTGAGAGAGCTGGTAGGTGGTGTGAGAGCGCTTGTAGGTTGTGTGAGAGCGCTTGTAGGTGATGTGAGAGCGCTTGTAGGTGATGTGAGAGCGCTTGTAGGTGATGTGAGAGCGCTTGTAGGTGGTGTGAGAGCGCTTGTAGGTGGTGTGAGAGCGCTTGTAGGTGATGTGAGAGCGCTGGTCTCAGGACCTATATAAACATAATAACTGGATACTATTGTATAATATTTTACTGTCCAGGGAATGTGTTACTTGTGTGGTGAACCTAACGTTCACTGTGTTTACCTGGGCATCCTAGCTGATGACTTCCTCTCTCAGCACCGAGATAGAGTACCATTCTTCCTCAGTACTGCTGCTGCTGCTCCTTACCGAGGTAACAATCATTACTTAACTCAGTACTTCAGCATTCCATCTGAAGAATAATACACACAACTTGACTAAGACACATGTACATCACCTAGGTATCAGTACACACACACCTAGGTGTTGCACATGTTTATTCTACGATATCTAGGTATCAATAAGATAACTAGGTGTTGCACATGTGTCTGTATTCTACGATACTTCACTACATACATTTATAGAAAGAAGAATATCCAGAGGTGTCTTAGTTGTTTGTTACAGTGATGTTGCCAATATAATTTATGTGAACATTTACAGTATTGATCACCAGTTGTGTACACCTTACCGGACATCTCTGCATATATAAAAGTATGTGTATATATATATATATATATATATATATATATATATATATATATATATATATATATATATATATATATATTATATATATTGTAAAGGTGTGTAAAGGTAGAAAGTTGAAAGTGAACATAGAAAAGAGTAAGGTGATGAGGGTATCAAATGATTTAGATAAAGAAAAATTGGATATCAAATTGGGGAGGAGGAGTATGGAAGAAGTGAATGTTTTCAGATACTTGGGAGTTGATGTGTCAGTGGATGGATTTATGAAAGATGAGGTTAATCATAGAATTGATGAAGGAAAAAAGGTGAGTGGTGCGTTGAGGTATATGTGGAGACAAAAAACGTTATCCATGGAGGCAAAGAAGGGAATGTATGAAAGTATAGTAGTACCAACACTCTTATATGGGTGTGAACTTGGGTGGTAAATGCAGCAGCGAGGAGACGGTTGGAGGCAGTGGAGATGTCCTGTCTAAGGGCAATGTGTGGTGTAAATATTATGCAGAAAATTTGGAGTGTGGAAATTAGGAGGTGTGGAGTTAATAAAAGTATTAGTGAGAGAGCTGAAGAGGGGTTGTTGAGGTGGTTTGGTCATTTAGAGAGAATGGATCGAAGTAGAATGACATGGAGAGAATTTAAATCTGTAGGAGAAGGAAGGCGGGGTAGGGGTCGTCCTCGAAAAGGTTGGAAGGAAGGGGTAAGGGAGGTTTTGTGGGCGAGAGGCTTGGACTTCCAGCATGCGTACATGAGCGTGTTCGATAGGAGTGAATGATGACGAATGGTATTTGGGACCTGACGATCTGTTGGAGTGTGAGCAGGGTAATATTTAGTGAAGGGATTCAGGGAAACCGGTTATTTTTATATAGCCGGACTTGAGTCCTGGAAATGGGAAGTACAATGCCTGCACTTTAAAGGAGGGGTTTGGGATATTGGCAGTTTGGAGGGATATGTTGTGTATCTTTATACGTATATGCTTCTAAACTGTTGTATTCTGAGCACCTCTGCAAAAGCAGTGATTATGTGTGAGTGTGGTGAAAGTGTTGAATGATGATGAAAGTATTTTCTTTTGGGATTTTCTTCTTTTTGGGTCACCCTGCTCGGTGGGAGACGGCCGACTTGTTGAATATATATATATATTATATATATATATATATATAATATATTATATCCATAGCGAAAAAAATAGTGAAATTCCCATTATCACTGTCTGCCATCACGAGTATGGGATGCATAATAAATATATTAAACTAACTGCCATCTTCATCTTACACTGTCACTGTCTGCCATCATCTTACACTGTCACTGTCTGCCATCTTCATACAATATCACTGTCTGCCATCTTCATCTTACACTGTCCTGTCTGCATTTCCATTTACAGTATCACTGTCGCATCTCATCTTACAGTATCACTGTCTGCCATCTTCATTTACACTGTCACTGTCTGCCATCTTCTCTTACACTGTCACTGTCTGCCATTTCATCTTACAATATCACTGTCTGCCATCTCCATCTTACAATATCACTGTCTGCCATCTTCATCTTACACTGTCACTGTCTGCCATCTCCATCTTACAGTATCACTGTCTGCCATCTTCATCTTACACTGTCACTGTCTGCCATCTCCATCTTACAGTATCACTGTCTGCCATCTCCATCTTACAATATCACTGTCTGCCATCTTCATCTTACACGTCACTGTCTGCCATCTTCATCTTACAGTATTCATGTCTGCCATCTCATCTTACAGTATCATGTCTGCATCTCCATCTTAACAGATCACTGTCTGCATTCATCTTCAGTATCACTGTCTGCCATTCATCTGACACTGTACTGTGCTATCCATCTTACAGTATCATGTCTGTCATTCATCTTACAATATCACTGTCTGCCATCTTCATCTTACACTGTCACTGTCTGCCATCGTCAATTACAGTATCACTGTCTGCCATCTCCATCTTACAATATCACTGTCTGCCAACTTCATCTTACACTGTCACTGTCTGCCATCTCCATCTTACAATATCACTGTCTGCCATCTTCATCTTACACTGTCACTGTCTGCCATCTCCATCTTACAATATCACTGTCTGCCATCTTCATCTTACACTGTCACTGTCTGCCATCTCATCTTACATATCACTGTCTGTCATCTCCATCTTACAGTATCACTGTCTGCCATCTCCATCTTACAGTATCACTGTCTGCCATCTCCATCTTACACTGTCACTGTCTGCCATCTCCATCTTACAATATCACTGCTGCATTCATCTTACATGCCACTGTCTGCCATCCATCTTACATTCACTGTCTGCCATCTCCATCTTACAGTATCACTGTCTGCCATCTCCATCTTACATATCACTGTCTGCCATCTCATCTTACACTGTCACTGTCTGCCATCTCCATCTTACAGTATCACTGTCTGCCATCTCCATCTTACAGTATCACTGTCTGCCATCTCCATCTTACAGTATCACTGTCTGCCATCTCCATCTTACAGTATCACTGTCTGCCATCTTCATCTTACACTGTCACTGTCTGCCATCTCCATCTTACAGTATCACTGTCTGCCATCTCCATCTTACAGTATCACTGTCTGCCATCTTCATCTTACACTGTCACTGTCTTGCCATCTCATCTTACACTTCACTGTCTGCCATCTCCATCTTACATTCACTGTCTGCCACTTCATCTTAAACATATCACTGTCTGCCATCTCCATCTTACAATATCACTGTCTGCCATCTTCATCTTACACTGTCACTGTCTGCCATCTTCATCTTACAGTATCACTGTCTGCCATCTTCATCTTACACTGTCACTGTCTGCCATCTCCATCTTACATGTCACTGTCTGCCATCTCATCTTACAATGTCACTGTCTGCCATCTCCATCTTACATGTCACTGTCTGCCATCTTCATCTTACACTGTCACTGTCTGCCATCTCCATCTTACATAGTCACTGTCTGCCATCTTCATCTTACACTGTCACTGTCTGCCATCTTCCATCTTACATATCACTGTCTGCCATCTCTCATCTTACACTGTCACTGTCTGCCATCTTCCATCTTACATTCACTGTCTGCCATCTTCATCTTACACTGTCACTGTCTGCCACTCATCTTACATGTCATGTCTGCCACTTCATCTACATTCACTGTCTGCCATCTTCATCTTACACTGTCACTGTCTGCCATCTCATCTTACATGTCACTGTCTGCCATCTTCATCTTACACTGTCACTGTCTGCCATCTTCATCTTACAGTATCACTGTCTGCCATCTTCATCTTACAGTATCACTGTCTGCCATCTCATCTTACAGTTTATCATCTGTCCTGCATTCTCCATCTTCATTTATTCACTGTCTGCCATCTTCATCTTACACTGTCACTGTCTGCCATCTTCATCTTACACTGTCACTGTCTGCCATCTTCATCTTACAATTCACTGTCTGCCATCTTCATCTTACACTGTCACTGTCTGCCATCTTCATCTTACATGTCACTGTCTGCCATCTTCATCTTACATGTCACTGCCTGCCATCTTCATCTTACACTGTCACTGTCTGCCATCTTCATCTTACACTGTCACTGTCTGCCATCTTCATCTTACACTTCACTGTCTGCCATCTCATCTTACAATATCACTGTCTGCCATCTTCATCTTACACTGTCACTGTCTGCCATCTTCATCTTACAATGTCACTGTCTGCCATCTTCATCTTACACTGTCACTGTCTGCCATCTTCATCTTACACTGTCACTGTCTGCCATCTTCATCTTACACTGTCACTGTCTGCCATCTTCATCTTACACTGTCACTGTCTGCCATCTTCATCTTACACTGTCACTGTCTGCCATCTTCATCTTACACTGTCACTGTCTGCCATCTTCATCTTACACTGTCACTGTCTGCCATCTTCATCTTACAATGTCACTGTCTGCCATCTTCATCTTACACTGTCACTGTCTGCCATCTTCATCTTACACTGTCACTGTCTGCCATCTTCATCTTACACTGTCACTGTCTGCCATCTTCATCTTACACTGTCACTGTCTGCCATCTTCATCTTACACTGTCACTGTCTGCCATCTTCATCTTACACTGTCACTGTCTGCCATCTTCATCTTACACTGTCACTGTCTGCCATCTTCATCTTACACTGTCACTGTCTGCCATCTTCATCTTACAATGTCACTGTCTGCCATCTTCATCTTACAATGTCACTGTCTGCCATCTTCATCTTACAATGTCACTGTCTGCCATCTTCATCTTACAATGTCACTGTCTGCCATCTTCATCTTACAGTGTCACTGTCTGCCATCTCAGTCTTACAATAGGGAAATATTTTATCGCTGCTATTTATGTATACAAATTTATTATGTATGTAAAAAACTGTGTTGTAGTATGAGAATAATAATTTTTATTATTTAAGATTGTATGTATATAACATTTGTTGGTTCAGTATATATGTACCGAGTGTGGCTGAACTTGGCCCATCCTGAGGAAGCTGAGGACTGTCTGGAGGGAGAACTGACACTCACCATGAAGGGTGCCAACAACATTACCATCACCACCATCCTCCCTGGGTCAGTATATCTCTCAGTATCTCAATCATCTCAACTTTTCATGAGGAATATCTGGATGCTGCTGAAGGTTCTTCTTCCAGGGAACTTGCGCTAGTTATAAACTCAGCTTCACTGACTTACTCGGCAAATATGATGGAACAGTCCACCTTGTGAGGTGATTGAGGCTACAACCTCAGGCACCTTCAAACATAGATTAGATAAATACATAAGTGAAAGGGGTTGGATTTGAGTGAGACTTAAACATGAGTCAATAGATTTATCAGAGCTTATTCCCTGGGTAACACCGGACCGCGGGGGCGTTGACCCCGGAACCCCCCTTCAGGTACAGGTATGGGTTGGGCTAACATTTTCGTTAGTGGGTTTGGGTTTGAGAATGACCTACCTAGTATGGGCCAGTAGTCCTGCTGCAGTGTTCCTCCTCTCTTATGTTTTTAAGCCGAACATAAATTATTTATTGTAATAACTCAGCGAAAATAATTTTGAATATCACGAAATTCAAATATGTTAATGATGGGAAATAATAATAACGGCAAATATAATATCTGTATGATGTGTTAGATAATATTAAGTTATATTACATAAACTCTTAAGTTAGGTCAAGCTGCTAACTTAATTTTGATGCAAAATTAAAAGTTGTAATCCATCTTTAGTCTCAGCAATACAATATATTTATTAATCTGTAATAACAGATTAAGAAGTTTGCCTCCAGTACTGTCTTATCTATCACAGGGCTCTGACGTACCTACCCTTGAAGCTATGCATGAAATTTTCCTGGGGCACTTTACGTAGCTCCTGCATATTGCAGGTCTCCGGTACGACTGAGCCACGGACAGCCTCGAGGATGGGTACTAGGACTGAAGGAGGACCTGGGGGCAGTAGAGATGCTGATAGTAAAGTGGACTCACCAAGCTAGTATCTTCAATAATTGTGGACATAAAGACTGCAACACCAACCTCTACATCCAGACCATCAAGGTCACTCCTATAGACTACCTTCCTCAAAGGTGACTCCTTCATCTGTGCCCATTTTTACTTTTTCAGTTGGTAATTTGGGAGAAGGTTGCCTTGATGCTGCTAAAGCTCTTTTTGATTCAGAGAACTCGACCTGCCCTTTCCTTCCTTACATAAGTAAGTTAATTTAGGAACAGATACACGTACTGCCCTGAATCTGCCCTGTCCTTCCTTGAATCAAACCTCATTATCCCATATTCCCTAGACGTTGCATGACCCTTACAGGCTTAAAGCTAACATCCAGGAACCTATCTGCTGCTTAGGTGAACATGAGTAGCAGGTGTAAGTAAACTTGCTTATTCGTTTCACCCCGCCAAGGAAACGAACCTGGGCCCTTTCGGTTGTGAACTGAGCATTCTACAAATGAGCTGCACATTTAACTGGAGATCATCTTTTGTTTTTTGACAGTGAGCAAGTGAGAGAGACGCGACTGTTGTGCGGAGGCTTGTACAACACTGCCGTCCCTTCAGGAGGACAAGCCATTCTTGTTCCCCAGGATAGCTGTCAGGAATGGTCCGTCTAGCAACACCTGCTAGCAATAGTCCGTCTAGCAACACCTGCTAGCAATAGTCCGTTTAGCAACACCTGCTAGCAATGGTCCGTCTAGCAACACCTGCTAGCAATGGTCCGTCTGCAACACTGCTAGCAATGGTCCGGTTCTAAGCGAACACCTGCTAGCAGTGGTCCGTCTAGCAACACCTGTTAACTATTAAAAATATGAATCACGTACGAATGTAATAAAGAATAAAATAAATTGGTTGTATGTAATTCACCATACATACCATACACCATATACATACCTTACATACACCATATACATACCATACACCATATACATACCTTACATACACCATATAATAACCAGTACACCATATACATACCTTACGTACACCATTACATGACTTACATAACCATATACATGCCATACACCATACAAAGCCTTAATACACCATATACATACCATACACCATATACATACCTTACATACACCATATACATGCCATACACCATATACATGCCTTACATACACCATATACATACCTTACATACACCATATACATGCCATACACCATATACATGCCTTACATACACCATATACATACCATACACCATATACATACCTTACATACACCATATACATACCATACACCATATACATGCCATACACCATATACATACCTTACATACACCATATACATACCATACACCATATACATACCTTACACCATATACATACCATAACACCATATACATACCTTACAATACACATACACCTATACATACCATACACCATATACATGCCATACACCATATATATATACCTTACATGCACCATATACATACCTTACACCATATACATACATACACCATATACATACCATACACCATATACATACCTTACACCATATACATACCATACACCATATACATACCTTACATCATATACATACCATACACCATATACATGCCATACACCATATACATACCTTACATACACCATATACATACCTGGAGTTTACCTGGAGAGAGTTCCGGGGGTCAACGCCCCCGCGGCCCGGTCTGTGACCAGGCCATACACCATATACATACCTTACATACACCATATATATACCATACGCCATATACATGCCATACACCGTATACATACCTTACACCATATACATACCATACACCATATACATACCTTACACCATATACATACCATACACCATATACATACCTTACATACACCATATACATTCCATGCACCATATACATACCTTACATATACCATATACATACCATACACCATATACATACCATACACCATATACATGCCATACACCATATACATACCTTACATACACCATATACATACCTTACACCATATACATACCATACACCATATACATGCCATACACCATATACATACCTTACATACACCATATACATACCTTACATATCATATATATACCATACACCATATACATACCTTACACCATATACATACCTTACATACATCATATGCAAACCATACACCATATACATACCTTACATACATCATATGCAAACCATACACCATATACATGCCATACACCATATACATACCTTACACCATATACATACCATACACCTTATACATACCTTACACCATATACATACCTTACACCATATACATACCATACATACACCATATACATACCATACATGCACCATATACATACCATACACCATATACCATACATACACCATATACATACCATATGTACACCATATGCATACTATACATACACCATATATATACCATACGTACACCATATATATACCATACATACACCATATACATACCATACGCCATATACATACCATACATACACCATATATACCATACACCATATACATACCATACACCATATACCATACACCATATACCATACACCATATACCTACACCATACATACCATACATACACCATATTCATATACATGCACCATATTCATACCATACACCATATACATACACCATATACCATACATACACTATATATATGCCATATACATACCATACATACGCCACACATACCATACATGCACCATATACTTACCATACATACACCATATACCATACACCATACATTATGCATACCATACACAATACATACACTATGCATACCATACACAATACATACACCATACACTATACATTATACTTACCCCAGGTCATGTAAAGAAAGTTATTGTATTTAATACATGCAAACACCATAAATGCCTTATATATGCATACATTATATATGCACCATACAACATACATAATACAACATATCCACTATACAACACACCATACATCATACAACATACAGTATGCAACACACCATACAACACACAACATACACTATACAAAACATCATACAACACACTGCAACACACCATACATCATACAACATACAATTTACAACACATCATACATACTACACTATGCAACACACCATACATCATACAACATATACTATGCAACACCATACATCATACAACACACTATGCAACACACCATACATCATACAACACACTATGCAACACACCATACATCATACAACATACACTATGCAACGCACCATACATCATACAACACACTATGCAACACACCATACATCATACAACACACTATGCAACACACCATACATCATACAACACACTATGCAAACACACCATACATCATACAACACACTATGCAACACACCATACATCATACAACACACTATGCAACAACACCATACATCATACAACACACTATGCAACACACCATACATCATACAACATACACTATGCAACACCACATACATCATACAACACACTATGCAAACACACCATACATCATCACAAACATACAATCAACACCATACATCATACAACATACACTATGCAACACATCATACATCATACAACATACACTATGCAACACACCATACATACAACATACACTATGCAACACCACATACATCATACAACAAACTATGCAACACACCATACATATACAACATACACTATGCAACACACCATACATCTACACATACACTATGCAACACACATACATCATACAATATACATACAACATACACTGCAACACACATACACTATACATCACATACAACATACACCATACAACACACCATACATCATACATATACAACAACATACACTGCAACACACCATACATCATACACTATACAACACACAACAACACACCATACAACATACAGCATACAACATACATCATACAACATACAACATACATCATACAACATACATCATACAACATACACATACATTACGGGTAATGTACTTACTGTTCTTTATTCCTCTAATTATGTCATCAGGGATAAGCGCTAAACTCATAGGGTCACACAGCGCCTGGGGAGAATAGAAGACAATCATGTTTGATCCAAGGAAGGAGAGGAGGTGTGCTGGTTCCTTGGATCAAGATCACCAGCATCAAGATCTACAACCAGGAAACTTAACGCAAATATTGTTAGTTAATACTTTCCTGCCAACACTGCTTAGTGTTGGTAGTGTTATCTTAGTGTTGGTAGTGTTATCTTAGTGTTGGCAGTGTTATCTTAGTGTTGGTAGTGTTATCTTAGTGCTGGTAGTGTTATCTTAGTGTTGGTAGTGTTATCTTAGTGTTGGTAGTGTTATTCTATACTATGCATGGCTAGTGTATATCTTAGTGTTGGTAGTGTTATCTTAGTGCTGGTAGTGTTATCTTAGTGTTGGTAGTGTTATCTTAGTGTTGGTAGTGTTATCTTAGTGCTGGTAGTGTTATCTTAGTGTTTGTTATTATCTTAAGTGTTGGTATGTTATCTTGTGTTGGTAGTCGTTATTTAGTGTTGGTAGCGTTATCTTAGTGTGGTAGTGTATTTAGTGTTGGTAGGTTACTTAGTGTGGTAGTGTTATCTTATGTGAGTAGTGTTATCGTTAGTGTTGGTAGTGTTATCTTGGTTGGTAGTGTTATCTTAGTGTTTGGTAGGTTATCTTGTGTGTAGTTTATCTTAGTGCTGAGGTAGTGTATTAGTGTTGGTAGTGTTATCTTAGTGTTGGTAGTGTTATCTTAGTGTGGTAGTGTTATCTTAGTGTTGGTAGTGTTATCTTAGTGCTGGTAGTGTTATCTTAGTGTTGGTAGTGTTATTTAGTGTTGGTAGTGTTATCTTAGTGTGGTAGTGTTATCTTAGTGTTGGTAGTGTTATCTTAGTGTTGGTAGTGTTATCTTAGTGTTGGTAGTTGTTATCTTAGTGCTGGTAGTGTTATATTAGTGTTGGTAGTGTTATCTTAGTGTTGGTAGTGTTATCTTAGTGTTGGTAGTGTTATCTTAGTGTTGGTAGTGTTATCTTAGTGCTGGTAGTGTTATCTTAGTGTTGGTAGTGTTATCTTAGTGTTGGTAGTGTTATCTGTGTGTTTCTTAGTGCTGGTTTGTGTTATCTTAGTGTTGGTAGTGTTATCTTAGTGCTGGTAGTGTTATCTTAGTGCTTGGTAGTGTTATCTTAGTGTTGGTAGTGTTATCTTAGTGCTGGTAGTGTTATCTTAGTGTTGGAGTGTTATCTTAGTGTTGGTAGTGTTATCTTAGTGCTGGTAGTGTTATCTTAGTGTTGGTAGTGTTATCTTAGTGTTGGTAGTGTTATCTTAGTGTTGGTAGTGTTATCTTAGTTGTTGGTAGTTTATCTTAGTGTTGGTAGTGTTATCTTAGTGTTGGTAGTGTTATCTTAGTGTTGGTAGTGTTATCTTAGTGTTGTATGTTATCTTAGTGCTGGTAGTGTTATCTTAGTGTTGGTAGTGTTATCTTAGTGTTGGTAGTGTTATCTTAGTGTTGGTAGTGTTATCTTAGTGTGGTAGTGTTATCTAGTGTGGTAGTGTTATCTTAGTGTTGGTAGTGTTATCTTAGTGTTGGTAGTGTTATCTTAGTGTTGGTAGTGTTATCTTAGTGCTGGTAGTGTTATCTTAGTGTTGGTAGTGTTATCTTAGTGCTGGTAGTGTTATCTTAGTGTTGTAGTGTTATCTTAGTGTTGTAGTGTTATCTTAGTGTTGGTAGTGTTATCTTAGTGCTTTGGGAGTGTTATCTTAGTGTTGGTAGTGTTTATCTTAGTGTTGGTAGTGTTATCTTAGTGTTGTAGTGTTCTTA